TTTTGTATTTTAATAGACATTTAACTATGTGGCCATAAAGCAACTAGTAAAGAAGGAGAGCCAAAACTGCCATTTCCATTAAGGTCCATGTTTAATAAGTAGATAAATTTGCATTAAAATGCAAAGCCAGCAGCCGTTACTATATTTGCATCTGAAAGATCCAAGCTCATTGAAAGGTGAGGGCAGCTCTAAGTGCTGCTGTGAGCTCTCTACACAGGTTCTGCTTTGCTTGGGCTCTCCTTTGCTTTAACATAAAAACATCCCCAGGTAATTCTGAAAATGTAATTTTTGACAATAAAGCCGTCAGCATGAATTGGTAAACCTGCTTAGGGAGGATGTTTGTCAGCTGGAGAAAGAATCTGTAGCAACATAACAGAGATTCATGTCAGCAAAGTGAGTGGAAGTGGTAAAGAAAGTGCCTTGGCTGGTTCCAACAGCAGAGTGAGGAGAGAAGGGAACTGGTACCTCAGGAGGGGGAGTTTGCAGCAGACTTTTAAAAGCAGCTACTGTCTACCAAATCAGTGTTTAATTTTTCATATAAACATGTTGACACTAACTTTCCTTTCTAGTTTTTATCCAGGAAATATTTGGGTTTGTATCCAGTGAGTTTGGTATCTAACGAGTATTGGAGGAGTAAAGAACACTGGCAGAGCATCAGAGCTCTTACTGCTGATCCCCTGCCTATGCCTGGGAAGGTGTTTTACCACAGGAGTATCATAAAAAGTGTCCAAGGCATGCACAGACAAGTCTGGGAAGTGTGGATTGAGTTGTAAATGGGTGACTTTAACAACACAAAAAAAAATTTTTGCTAAATCTGGTGTGGTTTTGATAAATCCAAAAAAGGTTCCTCTGCTTTCCTTGCTTAGGTACAAAACTCCATATGCAAAACCATAAATAGATGTTTATTATTGTCCCACTATGAGAGTTTACTACATTTCCTTGGAGCATTACCATTGGAGCAATAAAATGTCAAGCTATTAACATTCAACGTAAATTATTTATCACTTTAGTAAATAATGTTTTGTGACTCTTCTGCCATTCTTTTGTTTTCTGCTTTTGGTGTTCTTACAGTGTTGTAACATACTTGTACTGCTTCAGAAAAGTGGTTTTGTTTAAGCTGTATGAAACTGTGTTCTTAACACTTTGATTCTGTTTACAAGTGAACAGCCACTTTTTTAACAGGACCTCACATCTGGAGAGTTTTCTCTCTATTTTTTATTTTAAATGAAAATTCTAACTGAGCTCGCTTTCTACAATTTACTGCACTGGCTTGTGCCATTGAAAGAAGCTGGAAGTCAGACATGCTTCATCACTTTGAGACATTTTTCTTTAATTAAATTTAAAGATGAAAACCTCAAATAGTGCAACGTGTTTATGGGAAAAAAAATAATAGGAATGTTTTGCGTCTCTCCCTGTAGCAGAGTGTAAGTGGGAGGGCTTATTTAAAGAACAACACTTGGAAAGCTTAGGGGGCATTTCCAGAGAAGAAAACTGCGGAATGATCATCACAGCTGGCTTTCCAGATGCTCCACCTTCCACCCAGGGCAGAGGTGGAAGTGTTCAGGAAACGTGTGGATGAGGCACTTGGGGCCGTGGGTTAATGGTGACCATGGAGGTGGTGCTGGTTGGACTGGGTGGTCTGAAAGGCCTTTTCCAGCCTTAACAATTCCATGATTTGCTTGATGGGTTTACAGGCCTTCTGTTGGAAGGACTTCTTGAAGGCATCTCTTCCTGCAGCATTCCTCTCCAGAAAGCAGAGAATGTTACTGTGGGGTTTGGCTGGAAGAGGGATGTGGGGCTGAGTCAGGGAGTTCACTCCCTCATGGGGTTTATGAGGTGTAATTGCCCAGACTGGCAGCAAAGGTCCATTCTAGGAATATTTGGGATTTGGCCCTGACTTCTCCTGGGAGGCAGTTTTAGAGCTTCCTGTAATGTCTGCGCCAGTGTATTTGTAATGCTGTGTGTCTGTCCTCAGTTCAGTTGACTTTATAGAGACTTAAACCCTTCATTTCTTAGACAAAATTAAATGTTAGTCTCCTCTCAAAAGCAAAGTTCTCTGTTCCTGGTCATCCTATCTGTATTTATTTGTTTGAATTAATTTTCCTTGGATGGAGGTGACCAGAAACAATGGGATATTCCAGAGAGCGGCTCATGGCTGAGGCACCAGGGATTTCAGTGTTGAGAGTTTCCTCTCTTCTGTGAACAGAATATGATCCATTATATTGAAAGGACCACATTTGTCCCCTTAATGGCTGTATTGTATTTCTGGTTCACAGCCATTCCACGATAAATTTGAGACTTTTTCTCTTCGGTCACTTGTAGTTTATAGGAGCTCCCAACAGGCACTCTCATTACCAGTCCCACTAGTCCAGACTCAGCACCTGACACTTTGTACTAGTGAATTCCTCAGTACTTCCATGACAGGGGTCCTTGTGGAAGTGCTCCCATTCCTCCTGTAAAAAGCCTTTGTCGCTGACTGATTCATCTGCAAAGTTAACAAAAATGGTTTTACTAAAAACATTAGTTCCTAGATTGATGCCTGAATTTTTCTCATTTTCTAAAAGCCCTTTTGCTTAGTCCCTGATGAAATGTTTCTGTTATTTCTCCATGCGACTGAACCCGTCATTTCCTCATTGAGGTTTATCTAGTAGATCCAACCTACCTGGACTTGGTTGATTTACAGCTGTTTGTTTTCTAAACTGCTGAATTCTCTGCATTTTCTGTAATTGCTAGATCTGTTTAGATAATTATCCTTCTAATATATTCACATTTTATCTCACATTCTTTTTGTAAACCATATAATCCATAGTAGCCTATTTTGAGCAGTAAATTAAAGTTTCTGCAGGAAATAGATTTATATTTCTATGTTCAGTGATAACAAATATAACCTGAGATTCCAACTAGGGAAAAAACACTTTTTAAGAACACTTTGAGTCATTTGGCATACCTAGCATTGTAGTAAAATTGGGAAGAGGAATTACAGTACCTCTCAGACTAAGAAGAATTTAAAATTAAAAGGCAAATACTAATCAAAAGGTAATGGCTGATCTGTATTTAGTGTAAATTATGTGACGTGCAAGCCTGAGTAAGGCATTGAAAACCACTGGTTCTCCAGGCAGTGTCTACAGGGACCTCCATGGACTTTTTTGACAGTGAAGTGTCTGAATAGAGCAATAAGAATCAAAAGGAATTCTGGTTTTGAAAATGGAAAACGATGTTAATGGAAAACAGTGTTGGGCACTGCTGAGGTTTACGGAACAAGCAGCACTTTCCCCCCTCTGTGGAGTTAACCTGGAGCCATGGGTATAACTAGGGATCTGTCAGCTCCCCTGGACTGCGGGGGCCCCAGGGATGTCCAATTCCTTTTCCAGTTCCTACGGGAGCATCCCAGCGTTCCGAACTGGAGGAGGAACGGAGCAGAGCCACACGGGGACCACAGGGAAGAGAGCCACTCTTGAAGTAACCTGGTAGGTAATTTTTGTCGTTGCTTAGTGCATGGAGGGGCGTCTAGTGGTTAGGGTGCAGGACTCTCACCGCTGCGACCCGGGTTCGATTCCCAGCCCCCCGGGCAGATGGAGCTCGTTAGCCCTGTGAGGCAATCCATCTAAGAGAAGGTCACTCTAAACAAACCTACATCCTGAGACCCTCACTGCCACTGTCCAAGCGTGCTTGGCCCCGGCAGATGAACCTCAGGATTAAAGGGTGGGCTCAGTTCAGCGCAAGCTGTCTCTCACCTAAAAAATCCACTGCGCAGGCTCGAAGGGTTAATGACCTTTCCCAAATCTTCGCTCGCGAAGACTGGCCATTATTATTTAGTGCATGGAAGAGGTGCCTTGCTTCAGGATTCTGTGGAATTGTCATAATGAGCAGTGCTGAAAATACCCTCGCTGCGTGTCCAGGGGGATGGAGCTGGGGGCCTGACACTCGGACAGGGTGGGACCAACTGGTGCAGCTGCTGCAGAGCAGAAGCAAAGATGGCTCCGAGGTCCAGAATGAGCAGCAGGCGCTGCCTCCTGGGGGTGCGAGATGTGGAATTCCCTGCGGAGCTGCACAGCCAGGTCTGGGGAGTGTCAACCCCGCCCAGACAGTGCTGAATCTGCCACCGCTGCACCGACACAACAGCCCCTGGCGCTTGGGAAGTGGCACTGACAACAGCGTCGTTTGCCCCCATCACTTCCCAACGCCTCTTCGGGAATTCTGCTGGACTCCTCCCGCCCTTCAGGGGGCTCCGCGCGGGAAAAGCCACAGCGGCTCTTCGGGCTCTGCTCGCCGAGACTGTGCGGAGCCTCATCCCTTGGAGCGTGGCGGTGGGAGGTTGAGAGGTGGAAAGGCTGAAATTGTGGAGAAATCCCACCGTGTCCCCCGACCCAGGGAGCGCGCTCCCGCCATTGCCGCGAGCTACCGCGCATGCGCCTGAGCCCCCGGCGGGCGGCCCTAGGACCCTGCAGGGCGGCTCTGGGATAAGCGGGGCAGTGCGGGCGGGCGGCACTGGGACCCTGCAGGGCGGCTCTGGGATAAGCGGGGCAGTGCGGGCGGGCGGCACTGGGACCCTGCAGGGCGGCTCTGGGATAAGCGGGGCAGTGCGGGCGGGCGGCACTGGGACCCTGCAGGGCGGCTCTGGGATAAGCGGGGCAGTGCGGGCGGGCGGCACTGGGACCCTGCAGGGCGGCTCTGGGATAAGCGGGGCAGTGCGGGCGGGCGGCACTGGGACCCTGCGGAGCCCTGCGGGCGGTACTAGGACCCCGCGGCGCTGCCGGGCGGTGCTCGGCCCCAGCGCGCCCCCGCGGGGGTCCCGCCGCCTCTCCCGCCGCAGCAGCAGCGATGGCGGTGCCGTAGCGCGGCCGCCGATCCCCCGCCCGAGCGCCGCGCCCGGGCCCGGTGGGAGCCGAGCGGGGCCGCCACCGCTCCTCCTCCTCCCGCCGCCGCCGCTCCCCTGAGTCCCGCGGCCGCCATGGCCACCGAGCTGGAGCCGCCGGCCGCCGGCGCCGTGTCGGGCGCGGCGCCGCTGGAGGCGGAGGAGGACGAGGAGCACTGGCTGTACGGGGGTAGGTACCGCGGGGCCCGGCCGGCGGCGGGCCCGGCCCCGCCTCAGGGCCGCCCCCGCCTGCGAGGGCCGTGCGGGGCCGGGGGAGGCACCGGGGGCGGCCCCGCGGTGTGCGGGGGGAAGGGAGCGGCATCGGCCCCCTGTGCGCATCGCAGGGACCGCCGTCCCCTCACAGGGACCGCTATCCCCCCCCGTCCCCGTCCCCTCATAGGGCGGCGGTGTGTTATTGTCCTTTTATCACCATCACTGGTGCAGGGAGGTTAACGAGGTGCTTTTGTTGGAGTTGCAGTTCTCTAATCGCCCAAACCTTTTGGCCTAACAGGGCTCCGATGTGTCCAGGGCAAACCACAGGACTTTACTGAAACCCTATTGTCCTCCCCCTGGGCTTTCCACATGAATGCTTTTGTGTTTCTTCTTCCCTGGCAGGTTACAATTCTATATAAAGACCTTCATATCTTCCTGTGTGATGTTTGTCTCTACTCTCTGAGACTTTAGATGTATATTTTGAATTTTGTTCTGTGCCAGTGGCTGAGGCATCACCTCTGCAGATGGATGTTGCTTGTTGGATTGGGTTTATTTTTAGTTGCTCCATTTCTAGTTGAACTTTGTTGGAAAGAGAGCATTGGGGTTATGGTGCCTTGGCACCAGGAGGTATTTCTGTACCTGTGATGCCTTTTGTGCTTAAATTTACTTTTTTTTTCTTTCACTTGAATAATTTCTTTGTTCTTGCTGTTGTTTTTGCAGATGACACCACTGGTAAGCAAGAAGATGGACCAATTTCTGGGTGAGTCCAGAGGCTATTTATTCACTCTAACAGTACATGCTACAAAGAAGATAAACACTTGTTAAGCAGAGCTTCATGAGTGCTTTAGACTGGTGCTGTTGCCAGGAACAGCAGCCTGTCCTTTCCCCATCCCATGGGATCGTCCGCAGCCACCGTGGTCGGCTGGCACACATTTATGGATGTGGAAGGCGGACTAGCTCAGTCAACTGGTTTGATTTAAAACTAACTTTTAGCCCTTTTTTCATCTCACCAATTAGTTTTAAATCAGATCTGTTTTCCAGTTTAATGCCCTGGGAAAAATGATGCCTTGAGGACTGGCCTTTGTGCTGGCCTGGCGTTGGTGAAACTGTGGCCTGTGCTTTAGCCTGGAAAAGGTAAAACATCTTGGGTTAAAATCTTGACATGATCAAATCAGCACATTCTGTGAGGTGTCTAAAGTGTGTGGTTTGGGTAAGACTTGGACATAAATTCGTTGATCAGTTTGGGTTTCTGTGTGTGGAAAGTATTGTCTGTCCTGGGTCATAATTCCTCTCTATTTGCAGCTGTATGTTTTGTTGAGCTTTCTCTCAGCACAATATTATCTGTTTGCCATTTTAAAATGGAGCATTTTCCAGAAGACATGATCTTCACTGGACTTCTGTGTGCTCAGCACCTGCCAAAGTTCAGTCTAATGTTTATTGTGGCCATGGATTCAGTGTCTAGAATTTCTGGGATTTTTATGGATGCTGTCCTACTTGTGTGCTTAAGGAATACGAAAACTTGTGCAAATAAACAAGTGCTAAAAAACTCAGTAAATTGTTACCTAAAATCATCAAATGAGCTTTGCAGGAAAGAACAACTTTTAGACAGAAATTTACTGCTGATTTGCATAAATCTATTGTTCCATATCAGATTCATCTGAATGGAATTTTACTTCACAAGCAGGATTAGAAATCTGAATTTCCAGCAACTGCCTTCAATAACTGTAAGATGCAGGAAGGAGAAGTACTAGTGCTCATGTTAGCTCTCCTTTTTTTTTTGTTGTCCTCTTTTTGTTTTTTTTCCCCATTTCTTCGTTGCACAATGAGAATCTCCTTAAATGAAGAGCTGGGGGGTGTTTTAAGAAAAACCACTCTTTGTTTGCTCTGTTGTCAACGGCTGCAGCTCCAGGGATGCTCTGCTGGTTTGTCTGGAGTGTTTGTCCCCAGCCATGGAGCAGAGATCCGTGTAGTTTGGGCTGCAGTGTCCGTTAACATTCCCAAGCCTCAGGGATGTGTTGAACACCAGCAGGATGCTCTCACAGCAGCAGTGCCCAGGATGATGTTGGCATTCTGGGGCAGTGAAAGGCCGTGAGGTTTTTCTGGGTGCAGGTGGTGCTGGGGACCTGCCAGATGGCTCATTCCTGGGAAGCAAACAGGTTAGGGAAGGGCTGCTGGGGAGCAAATGTCTCTCTAAACTCCAGTTCATAAATTTTAATGCACACCCACAGATCCCTCATGTGACTTGAAGCTGAAGGTAATACTTGTCACTCTTCTGAAGTCAGGAGTCACAGTCATCTCAGATTCTTAAACGAAATTCAGGGGTTGAGGTCAATGTTAGGAGTTGATTGGATTGGGCAAAAGGTTTTGGTTCCATCAGAGAGGTTTTCTCCAGTGGTCCATCCTTTGGTCCTCCTGTCCCAGCCTGTGTCTGCAGCGTGGAAATACTTGGAGGCTCATTTTCCCTCTGACATCTTGGCTGCTTTTTATACCTGGAAGTGTCTGCAGGTGTCACATCAGGAACATGGTGACCACGGGACCTTCCCTGGGCAGCTGCAAAGCCCTTCTTTTTGATCTTGGCTTTATGAATTTCTTTGTATGTGGGTCTTTTCCAATATGGGCCTTCAGTTTCTGCTCAAATTGTTTGTTTGTCAGTCTTGTGTATGTTTGTTGTTCGATGTCGGATTTTAAATAGCAACATCTCCACAAAGCTCTTGTGGAGAACTGGGTTTTCTGGGCTATTCTAATTGTCTCTCTTGAAAAGTCAGAATTGTTATGAAGTTCTACCGGGTTTTATCTCTGACATTAGAGACAAATGACCTCTTTCTGTATTTTAGTTCTGTGACACTTGGCATACTCTTTTCTAGCATGTGTGCACCAATTTGACATTCTTGCTTGGCCAATGCAGTAAATAATGTTAATGTTTGCACAAACTCTTTATTTGAGGTAAATCCAAACCTGGCCATTGCATTAGGGCTAATTTGTAATGAGTGGGAAGATTGGGTGGATAATTATCTGTGTTTTCTTCTTGGAATTTTAACTTCTCGTTACTGTAAACTATTTGCAGACACACTAAAATCACTTTTTCCTCACTTTTTGGGATGGATGCCCTTGCTGCTTACTAAATACTTGTGTAATGATGAGATCCTTAAGGGTGAGGGGAAATTTTGCTTCTTATGGTCTTATTCTTCTCAGTTGTGATTGTGCCAGACCAAAGCTGGAAGCTGTTCTAGCTGCCACTTACACATTAGCTGTGGAGTGCTATCAGGTGCTCTCTGGGTGTGTGAAACTGATTCTTTCCAGCAAAAGCAAATCCAAACCAAGGCAGGAGGATGGAATTTTTGCCATGTAGTTGAGCTGGGTGCCAGCGGAGCAAACACAGGACATGAATAAGGTGTTACGTGAAAGTCACCTGGAGGAAGGTTTTAGAACTGTTTGTAGGTGAACCTCCAGGCTGGGCTTGTCCACCTGCTGTTCTGTGTCATGGTCACTTTGTTTTGTGTGTTCCCAGACATGCAGAATCTGCTCATCCTCTGCAGGATGCTCCCCAGGAGAGCCGGCCTGTCAACAGTGAGGACCGGGAGATGTCCCAGCACGTACGTGTCCCCTGCCCACGGTGCACAGGGTGGGGCTGTGCTGCTCCACACTCCTGGAGAAACAGATGAGCTGTAAAGATCCTGGACTGCCTAATGCCTTATCTTTGTAGTGTCAGGATGCACTGACAGCCATTCCCAGTGCCAGCAACACTTCTCTTGTCAGCCTGCCTTGAGGAGTGTGAAGGGAGTCTGGTGTGAGCTCTGCTTGTGCCCACCCAGGAGGCGCATGAGGAGCTCTGGTGCTGCAGTCTGGCAGGAAAAACAGAACGTGGTGTTACCTCCAGCTCAGTATTCAATGTGACTTCTCAAGGGCCAGTAAGATCTGGCAAACACTGGGATAGAAAGCCCAAAGTGCTGGGAATCAGTTTTGATTCAGGCTCAGACCTCTTAGAATGCAATCCATGGCTCGGTGCTGAAAGAGAAGGAGGAGGGTTGCTTCTCCCCTCCCTTCTCTCCTGGTCTCTTTGATGGGTTTATTTTCTGCCACTGTGGCACATCAAGAGGGCTAACAGAGGGTTTGTGTGCCATGGAAAAGGAGGGAGGGAAGGAACACCTTCCTCATGCCCTTTTGTAGGGTGACGTGTTAATTCAGCTCATGCATCTCACAGAACCGCACTGCCAGATGTCTGGAAACCTTCCTTGCCTATTCCTTCATTTTTGTGCCCCAGCACTGAGGCTTCATTTGGGTCAAATCAGCAGCTGTAAAGTGAAGGGACCTGGGGACTGACTGTGCTAAATCAGCTAAGGCAAACTGCTCAGCAGCTTCCTACCACAGAAGTTGTGAGAGAATATTTGCCTGAAGGTTTTTTGGGGAAGCCTGGTGAATGTATTTTGGTAGGTTTTATTTGTGGTCATGTCCTTTGACCGTGGAGCTGTGAGGGAGGTGTGTCAGAAAAGCCCTAACCCTTTCATAAAGGGTGGGGCAGAGGAGCTGAGGGACGTGGTGACATTCTTAGACCTGAGCTAAACCTTCCCTGCATTCAGAACCGTGACCCTCCATGAGAGCTGGGGCAATGCCTTCAAAGGACACAGGGGTTTCTCTGTCCATTGGTGTGAGGACTGCTCAGGAAGCTTTCCCAGATGTGGCTGAGTGTCCTGGGGCATTGTCACTTGTGTGCATCACTGAGCTCCTGTGGTGGCACTGTTGCAGGCCCTCCCCAGCGGCGAGGATGATGAAGATGACAGCGACAGCGACAGCGATGATGACGATGTCAAAGTGACCATTGGCAACATCAAGACGGGAGCACCGTCCTACATGTGGGTATTGCTGCTCAGGGTTGGATGCTGGGGCTGAGGTGGCTCCAGCATGTTGGGATTGAACTGGGAATGAGGCAAGAGCTGCTCTGTCTCCTGGGAGACACAGGGGTAACGGCCAGAGCACTGGAATGGGACTGGGAGCTGATGGGCAGCTCTGTCCTGCAATTGCTTGTTGGAGAATCCATCTGTAAAATAGGAATGGTATTCATGGGTCTGCTGCTGGAAAATTACCCTACAAATTACTGTGCTTTATGGGGCAGAATCAAAGGTGGGAAGTCACACTTAACTCATCTGTGAAAACTTCCAGAACCCAAATCTCTATTGCTGAGAATTTGCATAAAGCTGTGGATTTACTAATTCCCAGCTGTCAGATTTTTCATGGCTCAGAAATGGTGAGGCTGGATTTGAGAACCAGGAGATGGAATTTTTTAAAACTGCCTAATGTGCATTGAATAAAAATAATAATACAGCGCTCTTGCTTGCTGCTAGCAGCCTTCCTCTCAGGGGAATGCCTTACCTGTGCTTTGTTGCATATTCTAGTTCTTCCATTTTATGGATAATTTTCTTCTCTTGTTGTAAAGGTAGTTTCACTCTGATGGATGACTATGAATAGCAAACCCAGGTGAACTAAAGCATCTTCTGAAGGGTGTCAGGGCTTGAGTATATTTTGCATGTGAATCTTCAGCCAAGTCATTTGTTCAAATGCCAATGCAGTGATTCTTTTCCAATAGGGGAACTCCTATGAACCTAAACTTAAAAACGGGTAGAGGCTATGGAGCATCTGCTTCAGGTACCACTGTTGTTTTTATCCTTTACCTTTTGCAACGTTTCACTCCCCTGGCACTGAGAGCTGCAGCAGCTGCAGTTTTTTTCTGTTTAGAAGGATATAGAATTAGTGCATCTTATGTAAATCAGGCATAGTGCCTTTCCTAAAGATGAGTGCTCCTAGGGCAGTCTGAAGGTCCAGGATGCAGTGGAGGGATTTATTTACGCATCGCTGAACAAGGTGATTATAGTTCCTTTTAAACTATAAAAAAGTACATTATTACTTTATAGTAGAAAACCCAGAATATTTCTAAACTGTATTGTTGCACTGCTTGCCTGGAGAAGGACTGTAACTCTACTCCGCGTCTTGAGCTGCTTGCAGTGTGGGATACTCAAAGAAACAAACTCTGGCCTCGAGTATCAGCTCTACAGGTTTCTGCTGATGAAATTTCCCCCCCGTTCAGTTTAGTGTCTGTTGTATGTTGAGACTGGGATTCTTTCCTTCCACACATGTGAGACTGTCCTTTTGTGGGCTTCATCTACTTACTTCCCTTAATTTTTTTTTTATCCAAATGAATTCTCTTCTGAGTGAGAAAATAAGAAAAATTCTCCTTGAAGGTTCTGTATCAGATTTTTGCTGACTCCCATTAGTCCACAGTCAGTAATGACAAAAATATAAATATTTTGCCTGTGGAGAAAAATCATTTTATTTTATTTTCCTTTGGGGTAAATTTCATGCATGATCTAATGGTTTACTGTCTGTAGTACCAATCTGGGTTGAGTTTGCTTCTCTGCTGTTCAGCTGCAAGTGCTGCACACCCTGGCTGTTTGTTTGTGGAGTGACTGAAGTATATTTATTAAAAAGTTGATTGTGGTTACCTGTGTGCTGCAAAGCCAGGGATTAATTCACAACAGCTCTTTGGTTTTGACTGGAATAATTTGCTCAGCAAATGAGAGGATTAAAGGCATTGCATTAAAAGTAGTAACAGTTTCTCTCTCTCCAAAGCCAAGTTGCAGCCCAAAGGTATTGACTTGGATGCCGCAGGGAATATAAATGGATTGCCTGTTATAGAAGTGGATTTGGATTCATTTGAAGACAAGCCATGGAGGAAACCAGGTGGGGCCTCACAGTTCCTTGTGATAAATATTTTCTGCAGTTTTAGTTGTCTCTCTTTAATTTCACATGTCATTTCTGTCCATTTGTTGTTGCCGGGGAACAGGGCAGCTGGAACAATGAGTGTTGCTCAGCCTCTGATGCCTGTCTAGACAATCAGTGGCATTTACTGATTGAACAAGCCATGCTCTTTCTAAAATTGGGCTGCATTTATTCTAATAATTTAGCTAAAGGGAACAGCTGTTTTTTTAATGATCTGTTTTATTAATTCCCTAGTTCCAGAAAATGTTGCACTGATACCAATCCAGTAATGTTTGTTGGCCTTAAAGGCATTTGAGTGGATCAGGATTTGGGTATTGATTTGTGCTCTCCTCTTCCTGTGCAGCAGCTTGTTCTGTGTCTCAGAACAAGCCCAGAGTTGTCCCCATGTCTCCTCCTGGTTTGAGTCCTGGGACTGCCCACACTCCCTGGTGTGAGGGAGATTTCCACTGTTGCAGGACAGCTGTAGGATGCCACAAATGAACTGCTGCTCTTCATCTGACACAAAATGAATTGGAGGGACAAGAGATCCAAATGTGTGCTGTGCTGCTCATAAAATGTGCTCTGGTGAAATGTCACCTGGAACAAAAAATCCTCTTCTCAGAAATAATTCTTCTCCCTGCCTGCCCCTGTATTTTATTTATCTTTCAGAACTCTTGCTGTGCTGAGTAAGTGGTGCTGTTCTAAGGATGTTTGTGGTGTGGTTTGGGTGTCTCTTGCCCACATGAAAGGCATCAGGGTACAGACCAGAGCTAATAACTCTGTCAGGGTATCAAACCAGCACTAAAGCTGCTCCCTGTGATGGAGCAAGTGCAGGCAGAATAAAACATGTAGCCTTTCTCCTGCAGGGATTTCCCTTGGTTGTGAGGTGAGAAAGAGGGGAATGGGAAGAAAGTTAGTTAGAAAGAATACAGTGGAGTTCAGAGGTAAAGCCTGGAAATGGTTGTAGCCGTGCTGCCATTCCCAGACCAAAACAGAGCCAGCTGGCCCTAAAACACTGTGGGAGTAGAGTAGAGGGAAGGTGACTGCAGAGGTGTGTGGCCTGGATTTATTGGAGATGGCAAGTAGCTTGTTATTCAACAGCCTTTTGAGTTTATATCCTTTACAGTTAATTGCTCAGCAAGTTGGGATCCCTTTGAGTGAGGGAGAGGAAGAATAAATCCTGTGTGGAGGAGCTGATAGGGGTCTGGAATAGAGGCTGATAAAATAGATGAGCAAATGTGGTGTTGCTGAGTCGGTGTTGGTGCAATTTGCATGTTTGGGTGGTACAACAGGAAGAGTGGCCTGCCTAGGAGATAAACTTAAACCTCACTGCTTAGACCTCACAGCTTAAACCACTCTCAGAGTGCTTTGCTTAGCCCTGTGTCAGCTCTTTGTTCTGGAATGGTCTCTGTAGGGATATCTTTGTGTGGGGGATGTTTGAGGGACACCTCAGCGGGGCAGGAGGTGCTTTGTAGTGCTTCCTGGGGGGAGGTGGGAGGAGTGCTCAGGGAGTTCCTGCAGCCAGGATTGTCCCTTTGCATCCTTGGCAAAGCAGTTTGTGGGCACCTCTGTTGTTCAGAAGTGCTGGTGCTGAATGGGCACATTGCACAGGAGACTGTCAGTGTGAGATAACAATCTTGGATGACTAATCAGGGTTGTGACTGCACTGTAATTACTTGTGCAGTCCAGGACATATCAATAAAAAACTCGAACTTTAGATGTCTTTCATGGAATGGGTGAGCCCCAGAATCTCTTCACCAAACAGCAAAGGCAGTGATAGTCAGGAGGGGAATGTGTGGGCTCAGTTCTGCCAAGGAAAAGGTTCTGTGACACCATCCCATTTTTGTGCTGGGAGCTGGGGAACTGTCACTCCTGTGCTCTCCCCAGCACTCACCACATGTGGACACTTGGAAGAAACCAATCTGGAAAAATCAGGTTGGTGAAGAAGTAGTTGCAAGCAGCTCTCCATGGCCTGTGTAGGTGCTGTGTTGTGTCCCAGGTGTCCCGTGGTGCTCATGGTGTCCCCCTCCCACCAAAGGTTCTGCCATCTCTGGCCTCAGCAGATTGTGACAGTGACATGCACAGCCAGCTGGGCTCTCTAGAAAAATCTTGGTTTTCTTAGCTCTTTATTTAAGCAGTTAAAGAACAGTTGGAGGATGCCAGGCCGCAGAATCTCTGTGTAACTTCTGCTCCCTCTGGCAGGTGCTGATCTCTCTGATTACTTTAATTATGGATTCAATGAAGAAACATGGAAGGCTTATTGTGAGAAGCAGCGGCGGCTGCAGCTGGGGCTGGACCCTGCTCCCCCCATCAGCACTGAGAACAAGATCACGGTGGGTGACGTGTTCCTGCTGCTCATGGCTCCAGGAAAACTGACTCTTGGGGCTGTAATCACAGAGAGAAGGGTTTGAAAGCAGAAGGTGCCTCAATTCCAGACTGTTCTGTGTTCTTTGAGAGATTAGAAATACAAAAACGAGTCTTTAAAGATTGAGTCTCTCAGTTCTGTCTGTCTGGCAGGTTTGAACTACCACAGCAGCAAGACTGGAGGGAATTTCCAGTTGACTTTGAGGCTCCCCAGCAATAGGGGTGTCTGGCTGGAATATCCTGTGGATGAAGGAGGTGCAGGGAGGGGAGCTGGGCTTCCATGGCTGTTCTGCTCACTGCTGTTGAGTGCTGCAGTTGTGTGGCTGCCTTTTGTATTTGGAGGCTGCTTTGGCCATCAGCCTTTGCAGAGTCCATTGGTGGCCAACAGCTGGGAACCAGAACTTCAGCCAAATTGTCAATACAGCAAGTATTACAAGTTCCAGTGTTGACTTAAGGACTACCTGAGAAGGGACATGAGATTATTAAACCTTTGGACTTCTAACAGGAGACAGTGGCCAGCAGGAAGGCTGGAATGGCCTCTAGTTCACAGAAATGTCTGTGCCTTGAGTGGAGAATAGGTGGCTTGTGGCAAGAGCCCTGTGATTGTTCCTTTTCTTTTGCTGAGGGTTCTCTCTGGTGCTACATTCAGTTGAAAGAGCATTAAAGCTGTCTGTTAAATATTGCCTTCCACAGGTTCAGCAGGGGAGAACGGGAAATGCTGAAAAAGAGGTGGAAAACAACATCATCAAAACAGAGTTCAAAACAGACTTCCTGGCACTGGTGGGAGGAAGGATGAAGGCTGGGCCTCCTCCCAACAGGTGAGAGATGAACAAGTTCTTCCTGGGGGCAGCTGGGATCCACCTGGGCCACATCTGAACCTCCTCAAGCCTCGAACAGAAGCTTTTAAACTTCCCAGGAAGCTGGGAAGCTGTTCAGCAGACAGCCCCTGCCTACCCATTCACCTCTCCTGGTGCTGTTGTCAGTGCAGGGAGGGAGTCCTGGATCCCAGCTGATGGGACACATCTCTGGGAGCAGAGGCAGCAAGGCAAACCCCTCAGCTCTGAGGGCTTACCCTGCACACTGCTTGTGCTGGCCTGGCTGATCCCTGCTCCCATGATGGTAATCTCCAGTGGCAGTGGGTTTGGAGTTTGGCAGTGGATAAGAGGTGGTTCCTGAGCCTGTGTGTGACACTGCTGGACTGTGGTAAAACAATTGAGTCACTGATGGGAGCCTCTGCTGGGGAAACCACTTGGCCCTTTTGAGAGCCATGGGTTTATCAAAAGCTGCAAAACAAACAAAGCTGTGTGAAACCTGACAGGCCAGAGCTTTGTGCTCTGGGGGCTTCTGGTGCTTCATTCCCAAATCAGCTTTTGCACACCTGCCTTGCAGAAACCAGCCTGTCATTCCAGCTCTACACTTAGTCTGAGAACCAGCTCTGTGCTTTGAGTTTAAGCTTTAAAGCTCTGCTCAGTGTGTTGGCATTTAAGCACTTTGGGGCTATTTCTGTCCCAGTGTGCAGTCCCTGTTATTACACCCATTTGTGGGGATTCTTTGGATCGTATTTCTGGATTTTCAGAGAGACCAAACTCAGCCCTGCTCAAAGTGAAGTTCCCAGAAGTGAAAACAGGCTTTTCATTTGCCTCTTGTCAATTTGAGTGCTGTCTCTGGAGATGTTTGCCTGTTGGGAAAGAATGCACGAGAGAAGTCTGGGAAAATGGCTCCTTCTGATGTCTCTGAGCCTAAAAAGGTGCCTCTGCTTTGTACCAGGAAGCTGGGTGGGACCATTGATGTGATCGGGGGCCAGGCAGGCACCATTCGGAGGGTGGAAGGAAGACGTCGGGATAAACACGCCTCGGAGGAGAACCCCATCCAGGTAAAGTTTTTGTGCTGCCTTGGCAAACTCCTGACTCTATTGCACTTCTGCTGAACCCTGAGCAAATGTCTGTGCACTCCTGACCTCCCGTCCCAGTTCCTGCCTGCAAAGCAGCAGGTGATGTATTGACCCTACAGGGGTGTGTGCATGGGTTGTTCCCTCCTGCAGGCTCAGTTCACTTCTGGGTTAAAAACTTGGTCTTGCTGGGAGCCAGATTTGTCCTTCAAAGACTAGTCTTCCCTTCAGAGTGGCAAGGCCTGAGTTCCTTTCCTCGTCAGCTCTCCCAGAGTATTTCTTGGGCTGTATAGCTGGGAAGCTCTTCTGTGGATCATTCCCTTTCCCACTATTGGGGTGGAATCTCCAGTTCTGCAGTGGAGGGTTTGTACCTGGGGCTGGTGTTTCATTTTGCTTTGAAGTAACATTTAGTCTCAGCAGCATTTGGTGCAGCCCACGCTTCAGACAGGCTGGGCCTGTGGTACTGGATCTTGTCCCTTGTAAGGAATGAAAGCCTGGGGTATAAAACTGGTCTCAGTTCCGAGCCTGCATGCCCGGGGTATGACCATCATGTTCTGGTTGGCTTCTCTGTAGGAAGCTGCTGTGTGCAAGGTTTGAGGACCATCTGCCAAAAGCTCTTCTCTTAACCCTCTTCTTCCTACCAGCCACTTCTAACTCTCCAAGAAAAGCCAAATGTGGAACAATTCCTGGTTTTGTTTTTACATGTGGTTTTGTGGTCAGTTTATTTCTTGCCAACAAGAGGAGTTTGCCTGAGAGAAAGCATTTGCTGGGCAGTGGTGGCTGTTCCTGGCCCTTACAAGCACTAAGAGCTGCATTTCCAGGTCCCTCTGGTGCCTCTGCAGATTGGTCACTCTTCCCAGGCATCGTCCCCCGCCTGCTTCCTGCCAGCACTGGGAGGTCCCTGCTGCAGGAGCAACGGAATTAAAATGCTCTCTCCTCATTCCTCTGCCTTCTAAGGTCCTTGGAGACCACGGGAGTAAACCACAGCCTCCCCAGCAGCCCCAGCAGCCATCCCAGCCCCAACAGCCTCCTCAGCAGCAGCCGTTCGCTCCACCAGCAGGGCCTCCGCCTCCCCCGCTCGCTGGGCCTCCTCCACCACACTTCCTGCACCCTCCTCCTCCAGTCACCTCTGTTCCACCTCCCCTGCACCCTCCAGGTACGTGCTCGCTCTGAGGAACGCGAGTTGGGACGTCCCAGGCTTGGAGCAAACCAGAGGTTCCGTGGTGAGGTGCTGTTAGGCAGCTGAGTAGGCAGGGAACGGCTCCTTAACTGGCCAGGCTCTGTTCAGTGTCTCCATCAGCCTGTTGAACATCTGCCCTTGAATACTTAAAAAATGGCAGCTGGTCCTTCAAAAAAACAGCTCTGGACTTTGTTTCCTTGAGAGAACCTTTCAGTGCTACTGAGCCATTTGCTTTATTGATAAATGTAAAGGAACGGGTTCCTCTTTCTCTGTGCAAGAAGTGGAGGATGTTGGAATTGCTCTCCTGGGTCAGATCAGCAGATTGTTCAGGTCAGGATCCTCTCTGGCTCTTGCTGATTGTAGGTGTTTCAAAGGTGATGCTGGAATAGGCAATTCTGCAACAGCAGCTGTAACAAATAATTTTTCAGGCCTTGATTGATTTATGCCTTGAAATACCAAAATTGGTACCTTTCTCTGTGCATTTTACTGTTCAGCTGCCACTACAGGGGGATTCTGCTGCTCCCAGAGGAGTCCAGTGTCCAGTGCAGACCTCAGAGCAGTGCTTCATTTTCAAAACAAAGTATCAGTAGTATAAATAAGTTTCTAGCACCAGGCAAATGGTTGAGAGAACAAAGAACTTTGCAGTGGAAAAGGACAAATCTGCAGCATTTTCCAGGGGCTCGGGGTCATTTTTCTGTGCAAGTTTACAGATATAGTGGCCGTGGCCAAAGGCACATATTTCTCTCTTCACTTTTTCACTGAGTCTGTGCATCTTCTGATCCTACATGAGTCATGTCTGTGCTCCTGTTGCTTCTGGCTGAAGTAGTGCCAGTTTTAAGTGAAGGGGCCATGCTCTGGGCTTCTGGCCAGGCTTCAGAGGAGTCACCAGGAGCACTTCATGAAGTAACCCCTGTCTGAGGAGGATTCCTCCTGCAGAACTCACTGATACTTTTCCTGGTAACTTTTCCTACTGCCTTTCATTAAAATGATTGGCAAAATCCAGATGGACACACTGGATGGAGCCTGCAGCAGGTTCTCCTCTGTTCTGAGGTCCAAGTCAGTTGTTCATGTGTTGACACTTAGAAAAGGAATTCTCCGGTGTAAGAGGGCAGCAACATTTTAAATTATAGCATAAAGGTAAAGAGATCATCATTGGAGAAAATGATACAGTTTGCAGGGTAGTTCCTGCTTAGGAGCAGCAATTTTTCTGCTGCTGTTTGCTCCAACATGTGACATTTATTCAAAGTGTCCTTGAGGTTTAGCTTGAGGCACAGAGGTGCCATGCTTTCCCTGTTGTCCTCACTTGTTTTCCTTGCTGATTTCCACAGGCCTGCCACCTCCAGGTCCCATTCCAGGTAGGTGTTACCTTGCTTTCAGTAAAAGCAGCAATTCTGAACACACAGTGGCCCTACTTGAGCATTTGGAGTGAGTGACTTGAGATAGGATGGCACCAGTTCAGAGCACAGTTAATTTAAGACTAATGAACTCCAATGCAGTGTTGAACTCGATCTTATATTCTGGACCTAAATAGTCATCCGTAAGGATAAATTCTGTCTTGTTTTGTCTCTGAAGACAATTTGAAAAAGTGAAATGGAGAACTTGACATGGCAAAAGCCACTTAGATTTGAAATGGTTTAATTCTTGGGATTCCTTTATGCAGGAATTGGGAGTGTGAGACTGAGCAGAACAAATGCCACTTCCAGCAGAGGCCGTTGCAAAGATGCTGAAAACTAAGGAAAAAATGTAACAACTAATCTTGTGTATAAGTCAAGAAGCCCCTAATTCAGAGCTGCTGAACTCCCTAATTCAGGACTAAATTGTTTCTAGCTGTTTTTTTTTTCTACTGGAAATTTTGCCATTGAAAACAGTTAGCTGCTGGTAGAGCAGAGCACTTGGAGCAATAGGTGTGACCAGGTGCTGCCCCTCTGAAAATCCAGGGCTGACAGTGAATTCTGTGCTTTGTAAGGGACAAAGTTACTCATTTTAATGAATGGAGCAATAAAACTTTTGCTGTAGTTGTGACATATCTGCATCCCAAAACCTACTTTTCTTCCATAGGACTGTAAGGGTTAATCTTTACTCCTTGATGACTCTTACGGTTAAGATTTATAAGCCAAAACAAGGTAGTTTTTCTTTCGTTTTTCTTCCCATACCCCCACAGAACTAACACAGCCATAGGGTTTGAATTATGGGAGGAGATACAACCCTAAAGGAAAATGATTCCATTTCAAACAAGGCCTTGTTTAGAGTAAAAGGTTCTTTAACTGCTTTGAACTGTGAACAGCACTGAAGTGTGGCTCCCCTGTGCGAGCTGGGCCTCTGTGCTGACATTACCCTTCTGTGTTTAGGGTTGTTCCCGCCGCCTCTGGCGCCGCCACCAGCTCTTCTCATTCCAACCTTGGATGGGTAAGACCACACCTGGGCTGAGCCAGGGGTGCAGCTCTGCTGGAGTGAGGAAGGGAGGAAAAAAGGTTAAAAAGCAGTGACAGTGATTCATGGTCTGGTCTTGGGTTGGGTCAGGGGTGAGAGCAGAGTCTGTCAGGAATCCTCTGTGCATTTGTTTTCGTCACATTCAAGGCACAGGAAGGAGTCCATACAATCTAGGCAAAATCTGGGGTAGCTGATGGCATGTTTTGTTACTATAAAGATTCTCCAGGTAGTTTGGGAGCAGGGGTACTTTCCCAGGAAGCCTGGCTGGGGTGAAGCAGGGCAGGCAGTGGGGTTATGGAATGTTTGAAAGCCGTGGCAAAGCCCCTGCACCCGTGTGCATTTCTGGTAGGGGGGGTTCCCATAAGGATGTTCCACAGACCTCCAGAAAAAGTGGGGTGACCCTGCAGCACAGACATCCCTGCAGGGACTCCCTGGTGTTGGTAACTCCTCCTTTTCTCTCCCCCAGCCAGCCAGCCAGCTACAACAACAGGCAGCCACCTCCCTTTGGCTACAACTCCGCAGGTGAGCACTGCCCAGAACAGACTGCTGCTCTCTCTCCTCTGGTCCTTGGCAGTGCAGGCTTTTCTGAGCTGACAGGCAGCAGGTTTGCTTTAACTTCAGGCTCTTGCTTGTGCCCCAGCTGATCCCAGTCAGTAGGAACACACCCTGAGTCTGACTGCACTGGGCAGTGCTTGGAGAGCTGAATGTTGGGCAGCCCTGGTGGTGCAGTTTTGTGGCTGAGTGCTGAGGCTCAGGCCAGCTTTCAGCACCAGAGAAGCTCCCCCAGGTGCCTCAGCACCGTGTCCTCGTGCCTGTTTGCACACAAACGTGCTCTCCCTCACTCACACTCTCTCCCTTTTCCCCACCCTCAGAGACAAGCACAGCCATCCACAACTATCAGCTTGGCATCTCCTCCCTGAGCTTTTGAATCCCTCCTCGCCCACTTCCCCCTCTGCCTTGCCTACAGGCACCATCTCCTTTGGTTTTGTAGTGGCAGAGGCAGTGCCAGGAATTCAGCAGGATCCCTCCCTGGGGCAGCCCTGGCAGCAGTGCCCTGTTCTCTCCCAGTCCATAGTGACCAGCACTCGGAGCGGCCTCTCCTTGCCGTGCTGAGCAGGTGGAAGCTCCAGAGTGTGTCCCTGCAGGAGGGGTTGGAGCAGTGCCAGTCCTTCCGGAGCTCTGGGTGTGCTGCTGCTCAGCAGCTGGCACTGCTTCGGGATACCCCCTTACTGGCCCAGCTGAGCAGCCCAGCCCCTGGCTCTGGGCCCATCAGGTGACATCCTTCATTCACAGCTGGTGGCCCTGGCCCTCCCCAGGTACCACCTTAGACCAGAAGGTCCCTGGTGAGAGGTGAGACAGGAGGCCAAGAGCCCAGGGCTAGCAGAGGTTGTGCAGCACTGCCTGTGATTACCTGCTCTTGCTGTGTCTGCCTCGGGGAAAAGGTGTTCTGCTCTTAGCAAACTGCTGGAAGGGAAAGGGAAAGGACAGGAGAGACCATTGTGTCCTTGGATCTAGCTGTACTGCCAGAGGGGATCTTTGGAAGGGGAGGGACAGGGGGGATGCTGTGGCTGCTTCAGATGAGCAAGGCTTCTGCTCTCCTGCAGATTCAGGTTTCATCAGCTACCCACCCATCTCCACATCCCACACTCCCTGGGTGACCACGGTGGACAAGGGCACGAGCAGCTCCAGCAGCAGCCACTGGGAGTACTCGGGCTCCAGGCGGGAGAGGGAGCGGGAACGGGAGCGGGAACGGGAGAGGGAGCGAGACCGGGACCGGGACCGCACCCCCACCACCAGTGAATACAACAAGTGAGTGCTGCTGCTCATCCTGCTCACGTGGGGAGGCTGGCCCTGCCCCACAGCCCCACAGGGGGTTTGCCACAGGGTGGGATTGTGGATGGTACCAGTGGAATTTTCTGAAATGTCTGGGGAAGGGATACTTTGGATCAATGACTCGAGGACAGACCAGGAGCTGGTGTCACTGGCTGATTTCCTGTGTCTGGAGTTGGGGTTCTTTGTTTAAATCCAGCAGAACCAGTTCTTCTTGCCCTCCCACCAGGCCAGTAAATGAAACAGCCCCTCTGTGTTAACCTGGCCTTTCACAGCTCCCTGTGAAGCGCAGGAGCTGCTGCTTCTTGTCCTCTAAATGTCACTGGCAGATCAAAGGACAGACACCCTGTCCCGCTCTGCTCTCCTGGAGAGGCTTTGGGGCAGGGAGTGCCACTGCCTGGGAGCAGCCGGGAGAGACCACCTTGGTGGGAACTGCTGTGCCCTCGGGTGGCAGCAGTGCTGGGAGCACTGGGGGAAGGAGAGGAGGCTTGGAGCCTCCCTGACCTGGAGAGCTGAGCTGGAGGCTGGGCAACACGGACTCCTAAACCAAACCCATCACTTGGGTGTTCAGTCACCAGCAGTGCCAGTGCTCTGCAGGCCCAGAAATGCCAGTAATCATTCAAAACATGATCAGAATGTGCATTCCTGACATGGGGTGCTTCCTGCTGGGGACCTTTCCCAGCCTGGGGAAGGAGCAAACAGGGCAACTTGTTCCTGAGCTTTTTTCTTTTACTTTCCCTTTTTTTTTTTTTGGAACTTATGAGCTTGTGGTCACTGTGGGTGGGAGGGGCAGGAACACAACAGATGGCAAATTTGCCAAACTGGGAAGAACTCAGAGTCCCCCACTCCCTGAGCAGGTCCTTGGGCAGCCAAGGCTTGGGATCAGCACTCCTGGGCACATTGTTGGCATTTCTGGGTGATGTGGAGCACTCTGGAGCTGAGATCGTGCCTGTCAAAGCAGGATGAGTGGCAGTGCTCGGTGTGCTCCTTGGGAGCACTCCCAGATCATCAGTTTATTTGTCCAGCTCATTCCCAGGAGCATCAGGACAACGTTTGGACTTCCTTTCTGTCAGAGTCTGAATGTTGTTTCTCACAGAGGGACTTGTTAACCCTTCATATTTTGGCTTTCAGAAACTGCACATGGACTGTGAGGTGTAGAGGGAAGGGGATGGGGGATGTGTCTCATTTTGGGGTAACTCGTGCCTGCTCCTGTATGGGGATGGAATGAGATGCTTTGTAGGCAGAAGAACCACCTCAGCTCTGCTCACAGAAGAAAACAGCCCGTTAGTCCTACTCAGAGAAAAGAGTTCCAGATTTTCTGGGGTGTTGGTGTGGTGAGGGAAAACCCAGCAGCAGGGGAAGCAGAGTGGTAAGAGGAGCCTGTTTGTGTTGTTTTCCTGTTGCAGGTTTTTTCAGGAGCACCCCCAGTTGCTGTGGGTAGAGTGCGAGGTGCCAGATATCGGTGAGGAGGGTCACAGTGCGGTCCGAGGGGCGTGTTCCTGTGCCTCACTTGTGCTCTCTCCCCCCAGTGACGACGAGCGGTACCGCTACTACAGCCGGGAGCGCAGCTACGACTTCGAGCGCGACTATCGGCGCAGCCGCGACCGCAGCCGGGAACGAGAGGACCGGCACCGCGAGCGCCGGCACCGCGACAAGGAGGAGAGCTCCAAGCACAAGTCCTCCCGGCGGTGAGGGCTGGGATGGGATGGGATGGGAACGCTCCTGGCTGTAGACAAGGAGCTTGATGTTCTCGGGGTGAAGTGTCGCCCTGGCTCATCCTGTGAGCTGCTGATGTCCTCAGAGGTGATGCCCCAGGTGACGGCAAGAGCCTTCGGGAGGAGGAAACATCTGTAACAGGAGAGGAGCCCTCAGTGCTTGTGAGTTCTCAAGAGGGGCAGCACTGAGGAGTGGAGGAGGGGTGACCTGTGCTGTGGGTCCTGTTGCTCTTGTGCACAAGGGCAGAGCTCTCTGCAATCTGAAATGTGTGATCAGAGCTCTCCTGACAGCGAGGCTGGTGATGGGCTGCACAAAGGTGAGACACTGCTGAGGCACAGCCAGATGTCCTGAAATCCCAGTTTTTCTGGAGAAAATGTATTTGCAACAGATGATCTTCCTGGGAGAGCACTGTTCTAGCAGCAGCTCTGCTCCCTGGGCTGAGGCAAGTTCTCTGCTCAGATCCTGTGTCACTTCACATCCTGGTAACGGATTGAGCAGACTTGTTCTTGCTCCTTTTGCTTGGTGCTTCAACTTACTTCCTTCTTTTAGATGAAATTTGGGTCAGCTCTGTAGGTGATGACCTTTATTTTGAAATTGGTATCACAGAAATTCCTGCACAGTGAGGGAAGTAAAAGGCTGTTCTCATCCTTAAGGAGATGAGGAAGTTATCAGGGAAGGACTGATGGCTGAAGGGGTGGAAACAAAGTGTTGGGAAGAAAGGCCAGGACCACCTGAATTTGTTCTGAATACAGAACAAATGGAAGCTGGGCTGGTACCAGATGAACAAGCCAGTGCCTTTAGGGGATATTTCTCAGCTTCCTCCACTCAGAATTGAAACCTTGTAGTAGATACCTCGCTGTAGGAATCCCTGCCCAAGGCAGGGGGTTTGGAATTTGATAATCTTAAAGGTCCCTTCCAACCCAAACCATTCTGGGATTCTGTGAACAGGGTAAAATTCACCCAAGCAGGGGCAGATCTGCTTGAGAGCTCCATGTGCACATATGTGCTGGGGCACAAAGTGGGAACCGGGAGACTTTTCCTCTGCTCCCTAAATCACACACAGATGCTCCCTCTGACTCAAAGCAGTGAGATGAGCAGTGTTTGTGAGCTAAAGAAACAGGGGCAATACTGTGTTTAAGGCCACTTGTGGTGCGTGTCAGAGTCCCTGCTTGAGGCACACGGAGCTCTGTGCCTGGTGAGGCATCTGCAGGCACATGAAAGGCTCTGGTTGCAGTTTCCAGCTCCCTGCAAAGTGCCCAGTCTGCAGGAAATCACCGATGCTGGTTCCAGTATTAAAGGCCAGTCCCATTGTCCCAGCACAACCCACTGACACATTGTCCACGGGGTGGCTGAAGGTGTTGATTTTTTCCCCTTTAATGACTATGAAACCATTCATTAAACTAGTCAGAAAGTTACTCGAGGCCAGGAGCTTTTCAGCCAGATTCAGCCAGTTTGGTGTCTGTGCTGCCAAACCGATGTTCCAGCCATGTCAGGATTTGTCTCTAACCTGACACTGTCCCCACTCGTGGAGCTGTGCCTGTGCTGGGATGTTCATCTGCATTTTCCTGTGCTCTGTGCTGTGTTTTACCTCTGCCACCTTCACCCCATGCTCAGCTCTCAAGAGCTCGCCTGGTTTGCAGCCTGTGAGGAGAAATAATTGTGTGTTGGAGAAGCAGCAGAAAATCTCCTCCCAGGAGGGACCAGAGCAGAGCTCCCACCTTCCCACTTCCCCTGGTGGGAGGCAGAACTGTGCCCAGGGCCCAGTCCGAGCCCCTGCTGCCTGGGATTCCTCCCACATCACAGAGATCCTGTGCCAACAATCCCAGCTTTCCACCTGCATCAGGAAAACGGGTGAGGAGATAGAGGAGTTGTGGAGCATGGAGCCAGTGAAGAGCCAGGTCATGTGTGAGTAAGCAGAAGCAGAAAGAGGATCTGCCTCCCATTGGGAAATCCACATTTCCCTCGCTCCATTGACCCCTTTCTTGCCTCAAGTCCCAGGATTTCCCCTAGGTGTTCAGAGGAGTGAAGGTTCCAAACCCCTCTGGACTTAGGGCTCTCCCTCCTCTCAGCAGCTCCGTGCTGTGCCAGCATTGCTGGAGCTCCCGTGGAGTGGAGGGACGTGGATGTTCCACAGAGCCGCAGTGGCTGTGCCTGCCGGGCTGTGCCGCTGCCACGTGTGGTGTTGGCACAACCTGCGGGATCAGCTCATCCCAAACAAAGCCGGGGAGGCCCTGCTGGTGTATCCCTGTCCGTGCAGGTCCCTCGTGTGGCAGAGCTGTGCTGGCACAGGCACAGGTGTCACTTGTCCCCTCTGTTCCCCACAGGAAGCAGCACGAGAGCGAGGAGGGGGAGAGTCACCGGCGCCACAAGCACAAAAAGAACAAACGGAGCAAAGAGGAGAAGGAGGCCAGCGAGGACGGGGCCCAGGAGGGAGAGGAGCAGGACACCAAGGAGTGAGCAGGCCCCCTCAGCCCTCGGGAGGAGCCACTCCTGGGCCCCCAGCCTGGCACTGCTGATGTTTGGGGTGGGGGGTGATTTTTTTTTATTATTTTTTACTTTTTCTAAGGGAAGAGGCCGACTGGGAGCCCTGACACGGCACAGGGCTCGGGGAGCTGAGGCTGCACGTGCCCTTAAACTTCCTTTTTTGTTGTTTTTTGTTTTTGATACAAGACAATACAGCAGTACTAGTTACAAAGCACTGAGCTACTCTACTCATACACATCCCTAGGGAGGACTTTGGTGTATCAGATCCTATGGTTTCTGATGGAAGATGGCTTCAGCTGAAACTAACACAATTAGGTAATAGCTTTTGGTTCTTTTTTGTCATCATCATTCCTTTTTCAATAGGACAGTAAGTGCAACTTGAAATTTATTGTCCAAAGAACAGTGTGACTTAGACCCCGAGAGCCAGCCTAGAGTCTGACGTGGTAGTGAAGTCTCATCCCAGATAAATTCCTTTATAGCTACAGAAAGAGCCTCTGGTTTCTCCATGGCTGAGGAGCTGCAGGGTCTGCTCTGCCTTCTGGGCACAGGGTCTGCTCCGCCTGACACTCACCCAGCGTGGGCAGAGACCCCAAAACTCACTTTGTTACCCATTGCAAAGGTAGCTCTGTCATGTTACACCTCTGAGTGGTGTAATCGATGAAGACCTGTAGTAAGAGTTTAATTACTTTTGACTTGCCTGTTTTGTTTCCTTTTTCTTTCCTGAGTTGAGCTGAATAACCCAGGGCAGTAGAGAGCACCAAGTCCCAGCATTTTGCCCTCGTGGGGTTGGCGTTTCTATTTGGTTATCACCGACACTCCTGTCCGATGAATTCCTTCCCCTAGATCCCAAAATAAATTTAGTCGAATTCCAAAGTTTCTTTGGACTTAGTATTGGTTGGGGAGAGGGGCAAAGGAGATGTTTCTGGGTGGGGAGAACAGGGGAGATAATTTTAAGGGTTTTGGTCCTTAGGATCCCACCCTTCAGTTTGTGTGAGTCCACGAGTGTCTCATTTTTCTTTGACTTGTTATTTAAAACTGTCTTAAATATTTGTCCTAAAATAATATGGTTCTGAAATGTTCTGTATATTTTGGTATTGTAAACTTGCAAGTCTGAGTGTGCTGTGAAGTGTCGGGGCTGAGACCTGAGCCAGGAGAGCCCTCTGGGAATGGGTGACACTGGGATGAGTCCTTAACTGCAGAGCCTGGGGGAGAGGGGGAAGAACTGGGGGCTGTCTTGGGTTTTGGTTTTTATGGCGGTTTTTCATGTGCTTTGAGGTCACAGGAAATGTGTGTGCCCTGACCCAGATGAGGGGCAGGGCCTGGAATGGGGCTGGAGCTGTTCCTCCCTCTGCAGCCACAGCAGACCCCAGGGTTTGGGAACGCGATGTCTCTGAGGGGCAGCAGAGGATGGGCAGGGGTAACCCCAGCCAGGGAATCTCATCTCCTGGCACTGGGGGGGGACCAGGGGCAATGCTCCTGGAGTTCAGCTGAGAGTGCCCAGGAGCGTTCAGGAGCTTGGGGGGAACTGGCTTCTATGCAGTTACAGGATCCCGGAATCACTGGGGTTGGAAAAGGCCTCTGAGCCCTCACCACCTTGTCAGCAGGATGGCACTGGTGGGGCCTGGGCAGGGAGAAACCACACCCAGCCTGGTGAGGACTCAGGAGCGCCTGGTCTGTGCCCTCCCTGGGCTCCACAGAGAGCCCAGATTTGGGAATTGTGAAATGGGGTTGTTTTTTTCCGGCACTGAACTCTGAACTTGCAGGGCAGCAGTGCCAGAGGAGGTCGGGCAGTGGCCCCAGCCCACCCTGGGTCAGAGAGGGGCTGGCACAGCGTGTCCTGCCAAGGGCAGTGGGGTGTGGCCCTGGCCAGGGCCATGTTTGCCATGGCTGCAGGCTCAGGTGTCCTGGGGCCTCTCCGGGGGTGGGCAGAGCTGTTCCACAGCCTGTGGAGGTGACAGAAGCCTGCTGTAAACAGACTGAATTCCTGGTGGTCACATCCCTCTGCTTCCCTCTGCACCAGGGAGATGGGGAATCCTGCAGGGATGGAGCAGGGGGAGCTTCCTCCTGAGCTACTGAAGGAGCTGGACCTGGGTCCTGCACTCCTGGGAGCCCGGTGATGGTGCCAGGGGCAGCTAGGAAGTTAAGGTTTTATTGTTCTCTTTTAATTAAATAAATAGAGATCAAATGCTTGCCCTTCATACCAGGGAAACGATCTTTGCTTGCACCAGGAAGCTGCTGCAGGTTTGCTGTTGTTGGATGTGGGGCTACTGTTGGTCAGGGTTGTTTTCCCAGCCCCAGGGTATTTCAGGATAGTCCAGCTCCTTTCCTGGGGGCTGTTTCCTGCTGCCCAGAGCCAGCTTCCTGGAGCAGTGTCTTGTTGAGGTCACCTATTCAGGGGGCATTAACTGATACACTGGAAAGAAAAGTGAAAACCACACCTATGACACATATTTTTCAGCAATATTACAATAATTTATAAAGGCATCAAAACAAATTCAACATCTATTAACAAGCTGATTTTTGAAACAACATTTAAATTATGAGGACATTTTGGTGAAGTTGAAGGCACCTTGGAAGGAGGTGGAGTAACAGTAAAATCCTTCTGCAGCTCCTGCTCCCTCCCATTGCCCAGCAGCTCTTCCTCCTGCCCATCAGCCACTGGCACGTGGTGCAGGCAGGAGGAATGGCCCTCTCTGTACACCAATATTTACTGTTCCACCCCAGGCACAGGTTCTGCACATTGATTGGAAAGAGACAAAACATTGCTTCAGGTTTTTGTGTTCCTTTGTGTCGGAGCAAAGGTCGAGGAGGAGTTTTCCTGTGTGAATGATTTTGCTCTCAGCATTCAGGAGAAACAACAGGGAACCACGACTGTGCTGTCAGCGTCCCAGGGCTGTTTGTCAGGCAGAGGGAGGCTGTTGTGGGGCTGGATCCCGAACTGTTGCTGTGTGCTGGCTCTGGAAACAGCCCTGCTGTGCCTGCCTGGAGCTCCAGCGCAGGCAGTGGGGGCCCTGTGTGTGCAGGGGCCAGGGCCAGCTCTGCAGCAGCCCCAGGGGCAGCCTCGCTCAGCCAGGGACGGGCTCCACCTGCAGGGGCACTGCAGGGAGTTCAGCATTTCGCCAGAGGGGACTCTTGATTCGTACAAAGCTGGTCCTGTAAAAGGTGCAGCAGAGGCAGCAGGAGAGGGGAGACCTCTCAGTGCAGCCCGGTTTGAGAAGGACCTGTCACTGCTCCTGCTCACTAAGGACCTGCTGGAAGAGGATGAGTTGCTTCAGGTGGAGCTTGAAAGGAGGAACGTGGCAGGCTGTCAGGACAACCCCCCTGGCCCAGCTCCAGCCCTGCAGGTACATTTTCCCTGTGCAGAGGGTGTGAACTGAAGCCAGGCCGGGCACTGTCCTAGAGGGACTTCCTGCTGCCCTGGGCACAAAGTGGCCAAGGAGCAATGGCCCTTGGAGCCTCCCTGGTCCAGTGAGTTGGTATTTTGCTCCAGCCGTGAGCGGGATGTGAACAGAACTGCAGGAGGAAATCTGCTCTGCCTGACCATGCAGGGGCTCCTCCCCCTGCCCCAACCCCGCCTTGGGCACTGGGATTGATAAGGGAAAGCCGGGCAGCTGAGAGAATCCCAGACAGCATGTGGGACACAGGGTGCTGGTTACAGCCTGTTTACTGAATCACCTGCCTTCTGTGGGAAAAGCTGCTTTATCAAGTCATAAAACCAGGGAAGCTTCTCTGTGAGCCTTGCCCTCGCCCTCTGCTAAAGTCACACTCTGCAACATCACATGTCAGTGAAACCACTTCTGCTGCTCCCTTTGACAGGAGTTCTTTAAGCTATTTAAATTGTCCATTTGCAATAAATCAGTGGAGTTGGCAGGATCCTAAACCAGGATTTATGACAGGACCTTCGTACGGGTCAACACAGCCCCACCATCCTGCCCCAGCAGCTCTTCAGGTGCCAGCTCTGAGTTACCATTGGTTTTTTCAATGTATTAACACATTCCTTGGGTTACTGAAACCTGAAAATATCAAGAGTGGGTCCCTATCCCTACGGAATGATTTATTAGCAGCTCCTAAGAGCCATTGGTTTAACCTGATCAAAATAGGAAAAGGAAAGCTGAGCCCTAAAATCAAGAGAAGTGCCTGACCAGCCTCCAAGGCAGGTTGTGAGAAACGCTGGGAAGAGCTTCCTCTGCAACAGCAGCCTAAGGAGTTTTAATGAGCCTGGGAAGCCACAACTGTTGGATTAACTGTTCCTCGGAGTTCAGCTGCCAGATTTGGTGACAACCTTGGCACAGGAAAATGTTTTCCACAGGAAGGAAGCAAAGAGTCCTCCCTGGCACTGCCCCAGGAGCAGGAGTGGAGCAGGCCCCGGGTCCATGTGTCCCCCGTGGTGGCAGCTGGTCCCTGATCCCGCAGGCAGCGCTGGATGGTGTGAGCTGTCACACGAGGCTCCCTGGCCAGGACACCACCGTCAGGGTGACTTTGTTGCGCTGCTCCTTCAGCATCGGGATCAGCTCTGCGTTGCTCATTCCGATGGCCGGGACTCCATTCACGGCCACGATCTCGTCTCCACACCTGGGAGCACAGGACACACTGGGCAGGCTGAGGGAACCCGGAATTGCAGCCCCCAGGGTCAGATCACCCACCCTGAGCCAATGTCACCAACTGCTCCTGGGAGCAGCTTGTTCCCTTGTGAGTCCGAGGGAAGAGAAAGGGAGGACACTGCTGGTGGCAGAGGGAATGGCCCCAGGAGCACGACCAGGGCAGGGACAGCAGAGGGAGAAGCTGCAAGGGCAGATTTGTGCTGTCCCACACTCCTGACCCAGGTCAGTGCTGCAGGTCAGGCACAGTCCCCCAGGGGAGGTGCTCTGCAGGCTGGAGCTCTACTGTCACCCTGCAGCTCAGGACAGCAGGGGCTGAGGGTCCTGTGGGATCTGCCCCTCTGGCACAGCAGCACCTCTAGAGGGCTGGGAGGTGCTGGAACCTCACCCTGGCTCTGATGGGGAGACACATCCCTGTCCTGTCCTCCCACTCCCACTGAGCCCAGTCCTCCCACCACAGCTCTGGCCTCTCCCAGCTCTGAGGAGAACAAAGCCTGGCTCCCTCCACCCAAACCACAGCCCCTGCTAAGACCAGCCTCTGTCCTTCACAGTCCTGCACTTGCAGCCTGTGGGAAGCCAGTTCCTGCTTCCCAAGGATAGCACTGGGGCTCCTCCAGCTCCACTCCTCCCCTCGGGGATTTCTCAATCACAAACAGCTCAGCAAAGCTCCATTTAAGTTTCCTTTTGTTGCTTCTATTGGGATACTTCTGCTTACCCAAGAGATATTATATTCTAGAACCTCCAAGATTCATCTCAAACATCCCCTTTCTACTTTTCCCTAATTACTCAATTAAGACCTTTACAGCCCTTTAAAACCTAACTGTTAATTCCTTTTCATTGCACCTTTATGGAGAAACCAAAACACTCCTTAATACAGGACTTGGTTTGTTACATGTTTGGCATCAGCATTAACTGTGCAGTTGAGTGTGTAGGAATTACAGTCATTAACTTTTAGCTGGGCTGGTCTCAAGGGGCAAAGGGAAAACCCCGGGACTGTTTGTGATGCCCCCCAGCCACCCGGGTAGTTCACACCTACTTGAGCTTCCTGTCTCGGAAGGCAGGAGTGCCGGGCACGATGGTTTTGATGAAGAAGGGCTGGTTTCCTTTGCTCTCCTCAAAGCCCCCAACGATGCTGAAGCCCCAGCTCTCCAGGTTCCCTTTACTCAGGACAATGTCCTGGCAGAAGTGCAGGTAGCTGTGGCAGAAACAGAGAGAGCTGGTGAGAGCCTTTGAAGGAAAACTGCCTGACCGGAAGCTTCTGATTCCCCTCAGGGAAAGCACATGGATCCAGCTATGTCACAGCCTCATTTTTTTCCAGGATTTGAGACACCCCTTTGCAGGGCTAATTCTAAAATCTGACCATGCCAGACCTTTGGACTCTTTTCTCAGTGTTGTCAAAGAGTTAACAGGAAATTCCCATTCTCTGGAGGGGTCTGTGACCTGAAATACCTTCAGGAATTCTCCCAAGGAACACATGGCCCAGTGACAAACTCACACTAACGG